ACTTTACTGGTTAGTTTTGAAGATCTTTACTAACAAAATAAACTGGATAAAGTTGAAACCAACCTCTAGAAACAGACTTAACTGGATAGTTTTGAAGATCCTTACTAACAAAATAAACTGGATAAAGTTGAAACCAACCTCTAGAAACAGACTTAACTGGTTTATGTTGGAGATCTTTACTGACAAATTATAAACTGGATAAAGTTGAAACCAACCTCTAGAAACAGACTTAACTGGTCCAAACTTATCCTTGTCATCTGCATAATTTTATGTAATAACATGCTTTTTTACCAATCTAACATATAAGACTAAATGAAAAAACTTCTATCTCCTGGATAATTATGTATACAAAAAAACAATTGAATCTTTATATATGTATACATATATATACATACAGACACAAACACACACTATGACATAAGAGCACTATTTTTTTAAAATTTAATTCACAAGCTTTCAGTCACAATATCAGCAAACAGCTTTAGGTAGTTCTGTCTATGGACTAATTGACAGTAAATCAATTATGTTCCAGCTTTTAGAACTTAAAAATGTCACATAGATTCCAAGACAATTACTAGCATTAAAGTTATAAAAACATATGGTAACAATACTTACCTCAACAATATTCTTATCAGTCCAGGGACTGCCTACACCTGAAGATGGGGTAACAGTATTTAACTCAACAACAGACTGCCTGCACCTGAAGATCAGGTAACAATATTTAACTCAAAAACAGACTGCCTACATCTCAAGATGAGGTAACAGTACTTAACTCAACAATAGACTGCCTACACCTGAAGATGGGAGCTGTAATTGTTACTTGAAGCTTGTGAATTAAATAGAGAAACAATGATGAATGGCAAACTTTATTCCTATGTCTTGATGAAACTACATCAATATTTTTTCAGTTATTAAATCTCTTTTAAAATACTCATGACAGAAACATGGCTCCCTGGGGGCCATTGGGTCTGTAAGCAGTCTCTCATGTAAATATTTTCTTTAGCATGTCTTATATTTATCAGCTTAATTATTAAAAAGCAATTTGCAGGAATGAAATCTAAATATCTTATACAGGGTAACTATAAAACAAATTGAAAGCTCACAGTATGTACATCATCTCTGTCCAATTTCAGAGAAAAAAGAATTACAGAAATGAAAGTTAAATACCTCATATATATTAACATACAAAAACTCATAGTTCATTGCACATATTTACATAATTTCTCTCTAGTTTCAAAGTAATAATTTCCAATAATTGACATGAATACAGACGTTAAGTCACAAATATTGCCACACTTCACAACTGTATATGGAACAAATACACCTATAATGTGACCACTTTTTTTATCTTCAATAAAATGCTCCAAAAATGCAATAACAGTACACTACACTACAAGAAAAGAAGTTTCCAATTAGTTTTACTTAAACTAACCAACTATTAAGGTAGTGTTTTACTTGTTACATGCTCAGGTCTTGAAAACTGTTTGAATTCATAAAGGTCATTCTTAAAAACCAACTTCAAAATGTATGACTTAGGAATGTTAGTTGAAAACGTTTTCATTTTGAACCCTCCCGTGTAATTAGCTATAATTCCAAAATCAAGTACAAAAACAATATTTTTTTTACAAAACTTTCGTGTGTTGGGATAAGGTACCTATTTCAAGGATTTCATATTTTTGAAAAGGTGAAAAACTTACTTATATATAAAGATCATGTATTTCTGTTCTTTAAAAAAAAATATTTTATCTTCCACATACATTTTTTGAATGAACATGAACCGCAAGGAAATATTTTAATTCATACATTACAATTTTTCAAAAATTTAATCAGATAAAAACTTGAATGTTTGTTTATATGAAGGAGATTTAAGACTACCCAATTAAGTCTCTTTTTAGAGGCAAGCTTAATCTCTATCTACTTTAATTTGTTAGGAACGATCTCCAACATAAACCAGTAAAGTCTATTTCTGGAGGTTGGTTTCAACTTTATCCAGTTTATTATGTTAGTAAAGATCTTCAAAACTATCCAGTTAAGTCTGTTTCTGGAGGTTGATTTCAACTTTATCCAGATTATAATTTGTCAGTAAAGATCTCCAACATAAACCAGTAAAGTCTGTTTCTGGAGGTTGATTTCAACTTTATTCAGTTTATAATTTGTCAGTAAAGATCTCCAACACTAATGAAAAATTAAATGACTAGATGAAACTTTAGCAATTTAATAACCTGATGATACTGGAATAGTGTTTTGAGTGTGGACATATCATTCATAACCTGATGATATTGGAATAGTGTTTTGAGTGTGGACATATCATTCATAAACTGATGATATTGGAATAGTGTTTTGAGTGTGTACATATCATTCTAAACCTGATGATATTGGAATAGTGTTTTGAGTGTGTACATATCATTCTAAACATGATGATACTGGAATAGTGTTTTGAGTGTGTACATATCATTCATTACCTGATGATATTGGAATAGTGTTTTGAGTGTGTACATATCATTCCAAACATGATGATACTGGAATAGTGTTTTGAGTGTGTACATATCATTCCAAACCTGATGATATTGGAATAGTGTTTTGAGTGTGTTACTGAATGCACATATTATTCCAAACATGAAACTTGGGTAGTGTTTTGTGTGCGAGTGATTTGATACTAACTGAAAAAAGTTAATTTTGTACAAAAAAACTACAATATTACATATGTAGTTATTTAATGTTAATTAAACTGTAAAAGAATGTTTCGTCTTTCTGTACCAAATTAATTGAAATAAACATTTCAATTTGAAAAATCCTGTCTTAATATAAAGATAGTAGAATGGTTCTAAAATAAAGACATTTAATTTATGTAATATATAATAAAGAAGTAAAAAGTAAAGCATAAGCGTAAAAGTTATGACAATAGAAACCTATTAATTAATAGGTTTGGTCAAGACCTCTTTAGGTAAATGGAGATTTCTTGGTTTTTCAAAGTAAACAATAAATTAAAGTATGGCAGTCCAAGCAACTGCTAAGATAAAATAAAGTTAAAATGAAATAAAAATACACTGAAACACAAACATTTTCTCAACATAGCTTTTTTGTGCAACTTTTGATACATATATTTTGAATAAATCATTTTTGATGGCATAAGTTTTTGATAAAGCATATCAGACACTTCAAATAAATAAAATTAGAAACAATCTATAAGGCAAACAGGAATTGAAAATGAATAAATCAGAAGTGTCAAAATTTAAGTGGCTAGAAAAAATAAATATTAGCTTATATTGGTAGTAAAATGTATTAAATCAAATGACTAGATGAAACTTTAGCAATTTATCCAAGTTTATTCTTGTCATCTGCATAATTTGAACACAACAGCATGCTTTTACATTACTTATAGTAATAGTCAAACATGAAAAATTAAATGACTAGATGAAACTTTAGCAATTTATTCAAACTTATTCTTGTCATCTGCATAATATTAACACAACAGCATGCTTTTATGTTACTTATAGTAATAGTCAAATAGAATGATATGTACACACTC